TCTCTCCATCAGTTCCTTGTCTCTCTTGAATGGGGGAGCCCAGATCTAGACCCAATACGCCCAAGGTGGTCTCACTAGGGCAGAGTAGAGGGAGAGGAGAACCTCTCTCAACTTCTGGACACTCTCCTTCATGCACCCCAAAACATAACACTCAATATTAGGAAGACAAGACTTGTCTCTGATAGTTTTAGCTGTCTGAATGTGCCCAAGCCAATCATACTGGGAACTGCATCCAGTGGAAGATTAGAGCAGTAAGTAAGGCTGGGAGATATGGCATTAAAGGGCCCTGTAGAGCCTTGTGGCCATGCAGCTAGGCAGTGAGCTCCCAGCTACGCCTGCACAGCACCTGCCTCTCCTGCAGCAGCCCTCTGCACGTGCCCAGCAGCACGTGTGTGGCAAGAGCAGGGAGGCAGCCATGCCAAGAATGCTCTGGCTCTCACCGGAGAAGGAGGATGCTTCCTTAGCACTGCTGCAAAATCCAGCTCCTTGTACTCGTTCCCAGGCTGGCTTTCCCCATGTTGTTTTATTCTATTCTCCGTGCAGAAGTGGAAGTCAATTGGCTTTGTTACTTGACCAACAGGTCTCTTCACAGGTTGTCCTAAAGAAAAAAAAAGAGCATGTAAAGTCTGAAAGCCTTTTGGGGTGGGGAGGAGGATTTGAGAGACAGAGAAAAGGCATCTACTTTCTACTAACTTGGACAGGTTTTGGAGAAGTCATCTATAACTCTTCAGAACACTACAAAAACCAAACCAACCTGTTTCTAGGTGCTTCAGGGACCGATCTACATTAAAAGCCACCCAATACCAATTACAAAACCTGGAATGCTTGTTTTTAAAGGTACTTGTACAGCTCTGTGCAGCACCCTCCAGCCAAGCCCACATAGCTTTAAGCTGCAGTGCAGCTGGAGCCCACCTGCTCCAGCAATAGCTGCTTTCAGAGACTCCTCGTTCTTCTTCCGCAGCTCCACAACCTCCCGCTGCAACTGCTGCATCTTTTCCAGCTCCTGCTCCTCTGTGCTCTTCACCTTGCCAGGGAGATTGGTCCTCCTGGAGAAACATGGTAAAGACTGAGCTATGCCTTCCTGCTTTGCTGGTTATTAGCAGGATGTCAGTGCAAAGGAACTTATCTCTGACTTCATTGCAGAGGCATCACTCATTATAAAAGTATTCTCTCAGAAAAGGTCTGTTTGGATTCTGTTTGCCCCAGAAAGCTTGCAGCTGCTATTTTGTATACTGATCTGCTGTATGCACGCTGCACCCACGAGCAAGAACAACTTTTTCCTCAAATTAAAACCAAAAATCTTTCCTTTGCAGAGGTTAGGCTAGTGCAGCACCTTTCCTCCCAACGCTGTTGTCATGATCCGGTGTTTACTAAATGTGATACCATCACATGCTAAGTTGAGGCTGAAAACACTCCAGCCAGGGCTGTCCCCTAAATCAACTGTGATTAGCATGGACAAGTCACAAGAAAGCCACTTACTTCAACATTGCTGGCGTGGAGGGCATGGTCAGCTTGCTTCTCCCTCTCCCCGGGGAGAGGTCAGCATTCTGCAGGGGCTCTCTCTTTTCCGATGCTTCTGCCAGCTTCCCTCTGCTGTTAGAACTAAGGTAACAAGTTGTTAGGGCAAAGCACTCCAATTAACAGTGCTCTAAAAAGGACAGATGCCCTGCAGGTCTCACCACTGTGCACAACAGCCCCACAACCCAGCTCTAAGGGACACCAGACTGGCCTTACCTCACCACACGCCTAGGAAGAGATCGTCTAGTTCTCCCTGGTACTCTAAGGCTGCAGAAGGGAAGATGAATTACTGAATTTTTGGAACTCTGGAGAAGGCAGGTGTACTGTGGTTCACTGAAGTACAGAAGCATTTGAAAGACTGCACTTCAGTTTCCTGACCTCAAGCTTATCACCCTATATCTTAGTGGTAAAGCTAATTTGAGAAGTATTTTAGCTGCGACTCCTTCATAGCATATGACTGCCTGCCTGATAACTTCCTGATGGACAAGTTAAGCCAAATTTTAAAGCTACCTGGCAAACACCAAGTATAGAGTAAGAAGCTTAAACTCAAGCTTGCTTCATTCACACCTCTAGCTCCAAACAGAGCGTTTCCTCCAGGTCTCACAGCCATTTCTTCTGGTTTGTGAAACCAGTATCAGGAATCAAGTTTCAGTCACCTCCCTCTAACCTTCCTGTGAGAACCTTCTCAGCTATGTGGCAATTCTTTCCAAAGAAACAGTGGTATCCTCCTTCCCAGCCCCAAAGAGGAGGACTTTGGTGACGTACAGCCTCATTTTTTTCAGGGGTGGAACATCTTCCTTGTTAAGCAGGGCCTCAGCACTCCTCTCTGCTTTGACTCTCGCCGGCTGTTTGCGCTGCTGTGTTTTCCTCTGTGTTGTAGCCTGTTTTCTACCCACTCTGGAGCAGAACAGAAACCAGAGGTGAGCTTGACCATGGCACTGAGAAGACACACAGCCTCTCTAAGACATCACCCAGTGCATCACCCAACCCCAACACGTCCCATATGCTAATGGTGTTTAACACAACCACCCAAACACAACACCAGTTATTTAACAATCCATAAACTTAATATTCTTTGGTACACAGGAGCATCCAGAGCCCTTTGCATTCCTATTAAGAACAAGTTCAGCCCAACTCAGGCAGATATAAACAAAGAAACTTTATAAGCCACTTCAGTTTCAGATATCCTCACATTCCAGAAGCTCCTACTGCTACTGAGTCTCATTTGACAAGTATGTGAGACACTGCATTGCATTTCCACCCCTAGAGACTGCCCCTCTAGCTTAGCAAGCAGATCAGCTGTCCCCACACACCAGAGAACTTCAGACCCACAGGATGACCCAAGAACAGCTACAGCTGCAGATCCCAGGAGCAAGGACCTGTTTAGTTCCACCATCAACCTTCGTGCAAACTGAGCACGGGTATTTCACCTCTGAGGGGCCTCTGCAGGAGCAGCAGCTCTCCAGCTCTCCAGGGATCCAACAATGTTCTGAGGGACCATGTTGGTCTGCACATGTTCTGCTTGGCCATTGTCCTCACTGTGGCTTTCACCTGGCAAGTGACAAACACCAGCTCACATATACATACAGATATATATACACACACAGATGAACACTAAAGCAGAACCACATGAGGCCTTGCTAGATAACAACATGTGAATATGGTTCCACAAAAGCCAGACTGAGGCCTTTTCATTTTGCCAGTGAAGAGTAGGTAAAATTTATTCTTTGACACACTAAAGTAGAACCACATGAGGCTTTGCTAGATAACACGTGAATATGGTCCCACAAAAGCCAGACTGAGGCCTTTTCATTTTGCCAGTGAAGAGTAGGTAAAATTTATTCTTTGACCTGCCCCCCACCCCCATGCCAGCTTACTCATTGCTACTCCTTGTGACTCCACAGAAGATAGAATAATATCAGGCTTGGAAACAGCAGGGCTGTTCTGTGAGACCTTGGCCAGGTTTTCTGCAGGAGAGATATTCTCCAGATTGGCTTTTTGGTCTGTGAAGAAAGAGAGACTTTACATTAGGAATTTTTAACAATACTTCAGAATCTCATTCTGCTGTTAACCAAGTCACCTGTCAAGTTACAGATGACAATCCAGGTTTAAACACAAAACCAAACCCCAACTAACACCACGACTAATCCACTGGCACAACCCAAAAACAAGGATCAGGCCACGTCCTCACCCAGTGAGGCAACAACCTGAGGAACTGGGAGCATCTCACCAAACCAGGAGTCTGTGTCGTGCATGTCATCGTCGCTCAGAGTGGCAAAGTTGATGCGAGGGCTGGGGACATCAAAGGAGTAACGAGAGCCCTGGTGAAACATCTTCACCTCCACGCCAGCCCTGTGAGTCCTCTGCTTGCACTGCTGCAGTTCTCCAGACAACTGTTGGTCACCTGTTGCACCAAAACCCACCACAAGTGTCAGCCAGACCACCCTCCATCACAGTTTCCAGAAACACTGGGGCAGCCTTTGGTACATTTTCCTGTCTTGTGACTCAGCCCTTGGACAGAAGGTCTCAGCTCCCAGGCAATGAAGGTTTTTATTCTACTGCTGATAGGCAGAGCTAAGGAGATTTTACCCACTGATGACATTTGCAGGTTCAAAACTATCAAAAAGGTCAAATTCTGAAGGTTTTCTCTGTACCTGTATATGCTAGAATTGTATTTTTCAAAAGGAAACAAAGGATAAAGCTTTTCCAGAGAGTGACTGCTTTGCCCTCCCCTCTCTCCCTTGCCACAGAGAGTTCTTGCCCTCACCAGGGCACGGATTTATGGAGCAGGAGCCTGAGGCTGGCTCCAGAGCCCTGCAAAGCACAGCCCTTCTCCCTCTGAACAAGAACTAACAACACAAACATGCTTGTCTAGATAGTAAACTGATTTTCTAAGTAGAAGGGGAGTAGAGTGGGAAGAAAAGCAGGAGGAAGGGCAGTGCCAGGCCCTCGCTGCATTCCCAGGCACTACCCCAGGCTGGCCAGGCTATAAACAACACAAGCAGCACGGCTGGGTCACGAACAGCCCCTGCAGTTAATTAGTGGAGCACTGACAGCAGGAGGAGTCCCTGTGTCAACGGGTGATATGGAACTCCACGGAACAGGAACAAAGCCAGCCACAGAGTCACAACCCCTTCACTTGGAACAGAACCTTTCTGCAGAGGGGTTTTTGTGCTGCCTCACACAGCAAAGCCCTGGAGGACCCGTTACAGACCACTCCAAGGAAACCACCTGAACCTCGCCTCCAGGAGGCCAACCAACCCCAAAGCAGCTTATTCAGGATCCACAAAGTCCCCGACCTGAACCATCTGGCTGGGCAGACCACACAGAGCTCAGCCCAGCTGCTCTGTGCCACAGAGAACAAAACATTCAAGAGGGAAGGGAAGCAGCCCTTTGGAGGCACCGTTGCTGCTCACAGCACCAGCCCCTCCTCAGCAGAGAGCAGCAACAGTTAAGGGGAGGAATGTCGCTGGAGAAGCGTCAGTGGCATGACCATGAAGATGTCAGGGTAGGACCCAAAGAAGGCAAACAGCAGAATCTGAGCCAAAACCAACTGTAACTGAGCTTGAGACATGGCTGGAATCAAATGCTTTCCTACCACCCTTCATCAAGATAGAGTTTCTGTCAACACTATCCACTTTTTAAAAAATCAAGTGCGTCATCTGCATTCTCCCCTCCCCCTCCCCAGCCGGCCGGAGCTCCAGAGGCTCGTGTTTCACAGCTCCCTGCAGCTCTGCCACGCTGCTCCAGCTCCCAGCTTCCCACCCTGTAAAGTCCCTGTTCTTCTGTAGCGTCAGCACCCTCATCACCCCCCCGCCCCCTTCCCTCTCCCCCTCCCAGACAAGGGAATAGTCCTGAAAAGCAAGGGAGGGCGTCAGCGTCACAGCTTCACACCCAGGCCTCGGGAAAGAGCCAGTGGGGAGGTGAAAGTGGCCACAAGTGATCTCCAGAGGGGCTGTTCAGCCAAAGTCACAGCACCTGCTCTTCCAGACCCTGTGTACCCCCTCCAGAAGGATCTCCTGGGAAGCAGCAGGTTGCTGGATGGGCAGAGGAGTGAGCTGCTGGGGACTCAGCTGGGGACCGAGCTCACAGCTCAGCCAGGGCCCGTGTGGCAACTTGGCCGCCGCTGGGCACAG